CGCAGCCTCTGCAGCATGAGTTTGATCCCCAATTCAAGGAGCTGACCCACAGGGTGCAACAGACCTCTCTTGTCTCTGCCACTGTTCCCCTCAGCAATGTATTTGGGTTGACCTACCTGTTCTGCTCCCTACTCTGCCTCTGGTGAATCCTCTCACCCACCCCACCCTACCCTCCGGTCTGCACCCCGGCTCTTGTATGCGTAAATAAATAAAATAAAAACAAGTAATATTTTTTAAAAATTACAAGCAAGCGCAAGGTGGAAGCCAACAAGAATCTTGATGAAATGTTTGCTCAGTATCAAGGTTAGGGTAATTTGTTGTAATTCCACTGCTCTGATGATTTCCAGCTAATTCTGTGTTACATGTAACGTGCACAACATTCTTGTATGGACAGTCCATTTCAGCTTTCAGAATAAGTCTCTGTTAGGTACTAATGTTATTCCCACTTTATCACTGGGGTCTAGAGCAGTTACAAAACTCGTCCAAAGTAGTTAATGTCAGTGTTTCTGAAATGCAAGCTGAGGTCCCTTCACTTTCGTTCATGTCTGGTGCATTTTATAGGTTTTAGGACAGAATATTTTCCCTCTTATTCCTGTGTACATTTCTTGCAAAATCTTCTTTTCATCTAAGTTTATAATCTCTTTCCTTGCAAGGCAAAAACTTAATGCTAGTTAGTCTCCAAAGGGTGTGTTGAAAGCCAAGAAGCTACACAGACTTGGGATATTGGAGTAAAGATTTGGAAATAGACTCTTGGAGTTGCACTTTATTTTAATTTTGATAAATTATTGAAAAATGACTTGAATAATTATTATCGTCCTACAACTATTTATCCATCTGTTACAAGGAACGAGGTGCATAGACACACATAATTTTTACTCCATGGATTTGTTCTCTGAAGTGAAAGCATGCCCCTGCATGCCAAATAAATAAATAAATAAATAAATAAATAAATAAATAAATAAAATAGAGGAAAGAAGAGCAGAGCAAGAGAAGAAAGGTTTCCGTTTTCCTTTCTTATGAATTCTAGTTTCCCCTAGTTGAATTCAGGTGCTCTGGTTTTTCTCTGTTCTGTCTAAAAAATAATTTTTCCATCACTTAACATTGTGTGGTCTCTGGAATCAAGATTTTTTTTTTCTCTTACAAAAATGCAGCAATGGTCAAATTTCCACGGCAGGGAGAAAAGGAAAGATTGAGATGGTTTTCTCAATAATTGCTTCAATCCTCCCTCTCGTGCTAGCCCTGGAAACTTGGCCAGCGACTATTAAAGAGATGTTGGATTGATTTCCCCTCCCTCCTCTTTCTGTTTCCTCTGCCTGAAATGCTGTTCTCCCCCTTCTCTGTTATCACACTCCCTCTCATTCTGCAGCTCAGATGTCACCTCCCCTGAGAACTTCTACTGACATCCCTCTTTCCCCACTTCCCTGATTACGTTCATTCCCTCCATCCCCAGCAAAATTAGTCTCCTCTTGGCTCCTTTGCACTTTATTACGCTATTCTTATGGAGTAAATCACAATTATTATGGTTAGTTATTTGCTTTTCTATGTTCTCCTAAAAGCTGTGAATTTCTGAAAGGAGGAAAATTTTAAAAACTCACCAATATGGCCCCTCTCTGGTGGTACAACAGGTTAGGACACAGCATTGCAAACTAGCCATAGCCTCTTCAGTGCGAGTTCAATCCCAGGCCCTGGAGGTGATTCACATGGTGCAGCAGACCTCTCCTGTCTTGCCTGCTGCTCCCCTCAGCTGTGTATTTTGTTGAAGAGCCTATTTTGCTCCCTGCTCTGTCTCTAGTGAAGCCTCTCACTGCCCTTGCACCTCTGACTTATACCCCAGTTCTGTATGAATAAATAGATAAATGTTAAAAAAAAAGAAACCTCACCAATATGCTTGTTATAAGAGAGGTGTTCAGTATATCTTCATTTGACCAGGTTTGCACCAGAAATGCAGAAACAGCGTCTTCAGCAAATTCCAGGGAAGAGAATTTATTCACTGTCAATGTCTCTCCTCATTTCCTGTAGAGAACATAGTTTCCACCACTCCATGAGCTGGCACAACATCCATATTTTGAAATTGAGATACCTTTATATGGGGATAAAAGAAACCTACCTCTCTTATTCAGCTCCCAGGAAGAAAACTTCATATTGGGTTTCAACTGACTTCATGAGTCTCAACTGCTCAGAAGACTGAGATCAGGGGAAATCATGTAAAACACTAACTCCTGATTCTTCACAGTAGATTCAATAGTTGAGGTGGAATCTGTTTCTTACTTGTGTGTAGTAGAGGGCCTCCTTTTGGGAACTGCTTCTTTCAAATTGTTGAGGTTGCCCATCAAGATATAATCCACTTCCGTGGAGCCAGGCGCACACAAGGCCCTCTGGAATACTCCATGTCACTGGACACATAAAGGGCTTGGAGGCAGGGTTATCTGAGGTGGGCCAGTTGTCCTTTTTCAAATTTTGATGTGGGTTGGGAGGGGCTTAAGGGAAAAGAAGATAGGAGGAACAAAATTAGAGCAGACTATTTCCGTGTGATGTCATCATAGATGCCGAAGAACTTGATCTCAAGGACACCCTCAAGGAGTGACAGAATTTAAGAGTGTGTGTAGATGGAGAGAAGATAGCACTTATTATGAGGCAAGAGATTCAAAAGTGCGCTCTGGATCTCAGCGTACACATATAAAACCACCGTCAAGAGTTTTTATCAGTTTCCCCTAACTTTAGAACTTGGAGAAACATGCTTCGGTCACACCTATTCCCTGCTGCCCTGTCAGGGAACCTCCACAGGGTCACAACCAGTTGGATTTAGCACAGAAGAAGAAGTACAGCTAAGAGATGGAGAGAGACAGGCCACTCCTGAAAACATCATCTGAACACCTGAATCTAGCCACACCTCTCCCATAACATGTGACTTATTGGTATCTTTTTTCCTTAAGTGAGTTTGACTTTGAATTCTGTCCTTTGCAATCAAAAGGGCTCTGACCAAGAGATTTTCTAATACATAAATCTGTTTCTCATTCCAAAGTTATGGACTAAAAAGTCCAAATATAAGTAAAAAATGCAGGAGCATTGACTCAATTTTGATGCTGGACGTGACTGCTACTTTGAGAAGATGTTATCTAATGGTGATTTTAAAGGAGTGAATGAGTTGCAAGAAAGCTGATTCAAATTCTTCTAGAACACATCTCACCTATTCATCAGAAGTTAGTGCCTGATAAAATGTCTTGCCTCTGCAGATACATTCTGGGTCCTTCAAGAGTGATTGCTTTGGCCTGCGCAGGTTTCCATTAAGGGATGTCACTGCCCATGGATTCTACCCAAATGTGCACTCTCCAAACATAAAATGAGTTCATATTCTTACAGACTATCTTAGTCCACCTCAAACGATAATAAAGGAGCTTGGGAAGAAAGGTTTGAAGTTAATGAGATGCCTCTTAGTTTGCATTGTTCTTCCTCTAGCCTAGAAACAAAACAGAACCCCAAACCTTAATAATTTAAAGTGACCATTGACCAGTCATATACAGTCCTCACATTTTCAATTTTCCTGTAATATATCACGTTCCAACTGCAGTGGACTATTATAGCTGCCTGAAAAAGTATTGTTTGATGTCTGTAAGCGCAGTCAGCAATCAATAATTTGAAATTTGTACCATTTGTACCTTTAAATCCTGGCACATCATTTTTATTTCATTCAATCTGCTTACTGTTGAAGAAAAAGGATTTTGAACCATTGCCACAGAGCACATTTATGTGTGAAACAGGGTTCATTTATATGGTGGGAAGTATATCATTTTGACATTTATTTGCAATATTAATTGTATTTATTGATTCCCTTTTTTCAGAAATTGTAAATTTATTATAAATATTACCACTGGTGACCTTATTTTGGTGAGACTATTCTCCTGCCGGACTTGAAAATATTTTGGAGTCAAGTCATGGATTTTTAAATTCAGAGAGACAACATATGCTGTAATATTAAATTAAAATTCCATAACCAGTTGTTAGTTCAAGGACAAACTCAAGCATGAAACACTTTTTTTTTTTTTTAGAAAGTGTTGTCTCGTAGCTATTAGATTAGGAATGAATGACCTTTCGTGATCAGTTCTTCCTTACTTGTCTTTGTAATTCATTTCTCCTATTCGATCTTAACCCTAATAGAAATAGGATGAAAAGTTTCCTTAACCCATTTCAGAAATATGAGCAGTGTTCTTAGTTCACGTTTCCAAGAAAAGGCCAGCCTGTCTCAAAATCCTTTTCTGACTTCTGCACACAAACACTCAGGGATAGATTTAGGATTTTAACTGAGTGCTGACCCTTTTCAGAAACTCCACCTCAAACGAAAATAGAGGAGCTTGGGAAGAAAGGTTTGAAGTTAATGAGATGCCTTTATCATATTATATAAAACAATTATTAAAATTATGTTCCCATATGGGTTTTCGTTGGTGATCTCATCCATTCCCAGGATTTCAGCTCTCACCATCTTTGAAAAGATGCTTCACTCTCCTCACAAGAGAGGATATACTCTCAGGCTAACACAGGAGAATTGGGACTTAGAGTAGGCAAGCTTGTCCTGAAGGTCACTGTCAGTGGGAGAAGGGCAGTCTGCAACGAGGGTACCCACTTTCTGGGAGAGGGAATAATCCAGATTCCATCCTTCTCTTACTCAGCAGTGTAGTCTGCTACCTAATTTTGCAGCTCTAATAAACAGGATATTAAGTGATTTGCCTGCTTAATGAACTCTTATGCTGGAGGACATGACAGACACCGTGAAGGGGGAGGGGAGATGAACCATGTGACCCTTGCCATTAAGAGGATTCAAATACAGTGGAATAAAAAGTAAATGCATGTACCAATAAGACAAGTAGAAAGAAATAAGTGCTTGCAGAGATGTATAGATAAAGTGTTATAAATATTTACAAGAGGAAAAGACTATCTCTGCTCTGGAGAATTTGAGAAGACTTTATAAAAGAGAGGGCATTTGAGTGGAATCTTGAAGCATAGCTAAAAAGAGATGGATGGAAGAACATTAAGCGAAGGGGATATGAGAAGCAAAAGGTGAGAAAGCAGTGTATTGGGAAGCCACTGCCCAGATGTCCTATAAAATATATGGATAGTGGAGTGGAGGATACGACTAGAAAAGCAGGCAGAAGCCACACCACAGGAGGCAAGTATTAAATCACACAAGCAGAATTGGGCTCTGTGCTACAGGCACTGGGAATCTCTGTGGTCTCAGGGTGCAGAGCCAGGACCCAGCTAGAGAGCAGGGGGCCATCCCAACACCATCCTTCTTGTCCTTGGGCAGCCTGAAGGGAGAAGTCCAGGAGGAAGGTAGTAGTGGTTACTTGAGGTGAGGGCAGGTGGATTGGAAAAAAGGGAAGCAATTAATGAGGCGAGGCAGACGTAAAAGCCATCCGGTCTCAGCAATTATCTAGAGGGGGTGAAGCGAGGAGGGGAAGCATAGGTCTGGGGGGAGGAGAACATGGTGGGAGGTGATGGACTCAATATGGCATGCTGACTTCAAGTTTCCTGTGTGAGATTTAGGGGAGTGCAGCAGACAGCTGGAAATGTGGTTGGGAAAGAAGATGCAGCTAAGAGAAAGATTTGAGAGTCAGCCATGGAGAGGTGAGAGCTGAAGTCCTGGGAATGGATGAGATCACCAAGGAAAACCCATATGGAAGGTGAAGAGGGAGGAGCATGGGGGGAGCTGAAAATGGAAAGGGAAAAAAAGTACTTTGGAGGACTGGCGAGTGCCAGAAAAATGCTGTATAGTAATGAGGATTCATAGCATAAAAGGATCCTTTGGAGCTGAAAGAGACTTAAAGATTAGCTGGTCCAATCCTTTCATTTGACAGGAAGCAGAGGCTCAGAAGGTTGAATTACAGCTGCTGACTGCTGTGTTTGGGGCTGTGCTTAGCCCACACTGAAAAGTGCCCGTCCGTGTCATCCCCTCTCCCTGTCTCAGACAGGTCATTTCTTCATCATTTAGAATAATATGATAATTATATGTAATAATAATGAAATATAGAATATAATAATTATATAATAATTATTTAAAGAATGAATTGTGTTGTCTTTCAGTTTTAAACATGAAACAACTTTTGAGTTTTATCACAACACCAAATTTGGTTTGGGGATGTGAATTTGGGATGTGATAAGCTCTTTTCCAGACACGTGCTATCATGTCCCGGTTAAGGACTTGGGGTTAGACTTCACAGAACGCCACAACTTCTTAGCTGTACAACTTTAAACAAACTACTCAAACCTTCCAACTCTTAGTGTCCTGGCTGTGAAAGGGATAATAACAACAGTTGCCTCATTGCTAACATATGTAGGGCACTTAAAATAGTATTTAGCATCTTGGGGTTGCTATATAAACATTAACTATCATTTTCTAAAGTGATACTCCAAGTTAAGGTCACTGTACGGTTTATTGTCCAAACATTTTAGTGTCTGAACTGTTGCCTTATTTGTAAAAAACAATATGGAATTATAGGGAGCCTGAGAGAAAGGAATGACCAACAATGTCGCTTTTTTTATGGAAAGTTGTGTATTTTGCTAATTGTGGATATTTTGGCATTGATTTTAAATTTTTTTAAATATTGCCTAAAAATATGTTTTATCTTGGGCCCTCCCTGGTGGCGCAGCGGGTTAAAGCACAGCACTAAGAAGCTAAAGCCACTTCCGCATGAGTTCGATTCCCGCCTGCCCCGGAGGTGACCTCATGGCGCAGCAGACCTCTCCTGACCTGCCCGCTGCTCCCCTCAGCAGTGTACTTCGTTGATCTGTCTGTTCTGCTCCCTGCTCTGTCTCTGGTGAATCCTCTCACCCTCCGCATCTCTGGCCTATACCCAGTTCTGTATGAATAAATAAATACATATTTTTTAAAAATGTTTTATCTCAATTATTGAGTTTTTGGCACCCCTTAAATTTGTACCCTAGTTATGTTCTACTGTTGAAGATGATACAGGGGATTTTTACTAATGATGCAGGGACAGTGAGCCTTAATCAGTATGCTCCTTAGGCTACAGGTAGCTACACCATAGTTGTTGTTGCAGTTATTGGTATTTAATGACAAATAATTATATAACACCTAAGTTGGTAGTTAACTGTATGAAATTGTTGGTAGTCTACAATGTGTGATTTGCAAAAATAACAATCTTATATGGTTCAACCTATTCTATTATGATGCTAATTAGAATATTACATTGAGCTATATTAGAGGGTCACTAGGGAGATCAAAAATGATCTAGTGTTTGTAAGTGTTATGTTTCAAACTAAGAGAGATAGTATACCATTAAAAATATTGAATTAATCCACGGGGCTGGGTAATTAGCAATTGCTATATTGGGTAATCACCCCACATGGACAACTGCCTGCTTTATGAGTTAGAAAGCGCTTCCTAATTACATGCCTTAGAATTACCTGCACAGTATCTTTGTATTCATTCCACTCCAATCTACTCATATGTATGGAGCTTCCCCAATGTGCCTGGGATGAAGAGTTAACTAAAAGGTAGTGTAGATTTTCTCTATAACACAGAGTCTGGAGACAGAGGTTGGGTCTCAAGTTTATTCCTTTGACAGCTAGAGATAACTGTAATTACTGTACATGGTCATGTTCCTGTGTTGAACATTTCCAAGTTTTTTTTTAAAAAGGCACTGATTTTTAGAAGAACCAGTGAAGTTATCAGGAATGATGTATGAGGCTATATCAGGTGTGTGTGTGGGGGGGGGGAAATTGTTGTATTTCCGGTTTTATTCCCAGTCCCTAAGATACAGCCCAGAACAAGCTGAAAGGAAGACCGCACACTTGACTTTGATTTGCTGTCATACACTGCAAACCCCTCTGTCCAGACTCCCTAAGTCATTCCCATGAGAAGACAGGATTTAAAAATGCATGTGCATTACACTCTCCGGAAACAATATGGCTTAAGTTACAGTGTGTCAGCCAGCATGACCTTTCATTTTTGCATTTGGAAAGAACTGGAGAGATTAATAAACCCTTTCCTCTGTCTCACCAAGTTCTCACTGAACTGCTGAGATTCTGCCCTCAATGTGTTCACTCAGCCTCTCCTAGTTTGTAAAGAATTTGGCTTCAAGGGAAGTTTACCTACAAGCAGGTGTTCTGGTTAAATGTGGCTGAGAAAACTGGGAGTAGAGGGAAATGCCTAGGAAGTCAGTTACCAAAATCGATAGAAATAAATAGATTCATGATTTTTCTTGAACTTCCATTAAAACCAGTGAAGCAGGAACTGGGATATGATTAACTCTCATAAATAGTGAATGAGAGATAAGCAAGCTCTGTGTGCACTTCAACATAACCTTGATTGAAAGAATCATTCTTCCCCCCAAAAACACTTAAAATACATATGAAAATATATTTTAGAAAATATATTCCAGAAGGTGGTTCAAAGTAACATTTTAAAGTAATATTAGAAACTCTGTTTTACTAATTTTGTTTTAGTTATATTTTGTTGAGGGATTAGTAGAGATCTCTTAACAAAGATCTGCTCTCTTAACAAATATCAAACGTGCAAAAACAGTATTGTTAACTGTAGACACCAAGTCGCACATTAAATCTCCAGAATTTACCCATCCGGCACAACTAAAACTTTGTAGCTTTTCACCAAAATCTCCCAGTTCTCACCACCACACAGGACCTGGTCATTTCCATGCTATTCTCTGTTTCTATGACTTTGACCTTTTTTTTTTTTACACATACGAGATCAGACAGTACTTGTTTTTCTGTACTCAGCTCATTCTACGCAGATCACCCATTTTGTTTCAAATGACGGGACTTCTTCCTTTTTCAAAGCTAAATAATAGTCCATTGACTATGACAGAATTATTTAATTCTCATTCTTGCTCTGGAATAAAGGGGAAAGAGCCTTTCAAACTTCCAATTTTTAACTTGTCCTCAAACGCTTCATCTTTCCCTACTCCTCAGGTATATTGGTCAGTCTAGGCCTGGATTCCTTGATGAACAACCTACACAATATGCTTGTTTACTCTGTGGGATTCGCTAGTTCACTGAGTTCAGCCCTTTATCCTGGGCTAGACAAGGGCCTCCTCTCTCTTGGTCTGATGTTAGTCTGGTTTGCCCATCCAGGAGGGGGTAGTGCTACTCCGAGCCCCTCTTTACTCTAGAAACAAAAAAAGCAAACAGTTTATTTGTAGCCTTTTGTTTTCACCACTGTTTTGCTGCCTGCCTTCTCTATTTAGAAGATGCTAATTTTAAGCAAATGGTAAGCCAGTTTTATTTCTTTCCAAGTTGCTGTTCTGTAAATCATAATCATTTATTTATTCACTTACTAAAAATTTTAGTGGATCCCTAGTTTATTAAGGAAACGTCCAGCATATAATACACTGCAAATTGTTCAGTGCTGTGAATTACTTATCTTTGATGCTGTGAGCTATTCAAAGATGATTAAGAAATGCTTTCTACTTTCAAGAAACTTGCAATCTGATAAAGTAAAATAGGATCTACATACAATAACCTGTCACACCAAGTAGATTGTAACAAATGTCATCCAAGATAAATGACTGATGTATCAAGGAAAAAAAAATTCTTCTGAATTTTTTGAGATACCTTTGGCCTAAAACCTTAATCTCTAACCGAAGCATTAAAAAAGAAAAAAAAGAAGTCCCAGCAGGCATTTTTTTTTCCATATCAGATCTTCTTAAAGTCATTTAGCTATGAAAGAGTTCCTCTATCTTCCTTCTCAAAGAACCACAGCGTTTTAGTCAATAGGTCAAGATAACCCTCATATCGCATTGATGAACTCTGGTGAATATGAGAGTCAGCCTCAAATATAGAAACCAAAAGAAAGAAAAAAAAAATCAATGCCACATTTCATCAGCAACGAAAGGATATAATAATGATTGAAATAGAGCAAGCCTCAAAAATTCTAAAATCATGTCCAGTGATAGTTTCCTCACATTAGGGGAGAAAAAATGTAATGTCTGGGGCCTTCAAAGTGGCACAAAGTGTTAAGTCTTGGCACTATGAAGTTATCCGTAGCCACTGCAGCCTAAGTTCTATCCCTGGCCAGAGAGCTGACCCACATAGTGCAGCAGACCTCTCCTGCCTTGCCCACTGCTCCCCTCAACAGTGTATTTCGGGTAGATCCTCCTGTTCTGTTCCCCACTGTCTCTGGCGAGTTCTCTTACCCCTTGCTCTTCTGGCCTGTTCTTGTATGCATAAATAAATCTTAAAAAAAAAAAAGTAACGTCATCAAGCTCAGTCACTTACAGATTCATATCTAAGTATGAAATGATATTCTCAGGGATCAGCATGTGGGGAAATTATTAATATTGATAAGAGATACATGTAGATTTGCTGGGAAAATTAACAGTTACGTGTAGCAACAATCTCCTGTAATTCTCCAATGCAATTGTTACCTCAAGGGAAGTGAATAGAAGAATAAGCATATGATATTTCTTGTACCTAGCAAGGTGTTTGGCACGAAGAATGCACTTAACACAGATTTGCTAAAGAAAAAAATAAAATAAAATCACTTAATAAAACATGTTTTTCATATTCAGGTAAGTCATCACCCATTGACAGTCTTCAGGACTGAGGAATTTTCTTGCAGTGATTCTAACTCTGTAGTATTTCATGGAGTGGCAGAATTTACATGTCAGGTTCTCAGGGTCACTGCTGTTACCTCCTTATTTCAGGTACTGTAGTCACTGGGAATGCAAATAAAATATAGCTGTTCAATTTAGTTCTCAAGAGACAAAATCAGGCCATCTAATTCAGTTTTTGAAATGAGTCACAATAAGGAAAAAATTACAAAAGATTTACTTTGGTAGATTTATAATGAAAATACTGAACTTTTTTTTTTAAAGTAAGTTGAGTAAACTGTTAATTATTTAGACTAAAGAGTTCAATCCCTCCATCAACAAATAGTTGCCTGGACAACTATTTACAGAGTTTTTTATGAGTACAGAGAAGCTTTGACGATTAGAATTTACCGTAATTCAAAAAGTAAAAAATTACCAAACATCATATGGTTTTATGTAATAAGTGTTTTAAGGGTGACCACAGTCTTGTTCACCCTCTTTAAAGGTGGTTTTAGAAGATTGGATGAAAGAAAATAACTACTCAAGTTTAGACCAGGAGTTTTGGACCGGATGCCTACAAGCTCTAATCAGGTGCAAGAATTGCATTTGGCATATTGACTTGACATCATCTGTCAGGGAGTGGTGGTGACTGTGGTGAGCAGAACTTGTGTGTGTCTCTCAAAGAAGGTGACTATACTTAGCACTTGCCTGTTGGTGCTATGTAGGTACTTAGACCCAGAACAACCAGATCTTTCATCTTTTAAGGAGAAGATGGACATACAGTTTTTTTATTTCAAATTTCCCAATTTGTGAAAGTTTCCTATTTATTTAAAAAGTTTTAAAGCTCTGCGTGAACCCAACAAAACCCATTCATCCATGGGCCATGAGTTTGTGTCTCCTGGCGCATCATAAGGCCCAGGGCATCCCAGGTGCCCAGGAGAAGCCCTCTTTGCACTAACACGTTGGAACACAGAGGAACTGGCCAGTGGTGACTGGGTTCAGTGCACTTCCGGGTTTGAGAGACTTTATAGTTCAAAACAATCGAGACGAGAGGGATAAGAACAGGGACAGGCCCTCCCTGGTGGCGCAGCGGGTTAAAGCACTGCACGG